CCCTCTTTTTGTTTGTCTGTTTCTTTATTTTGAGAGAGAGAGAGAGAGGGAGAGAGAGAGAGAGAGAGAGAGAGAAAGGCACCTCTATTGTAGATCATTTTCTCTGATTGTCCTCTTGGAATAGAGGGCCGGGAGTGCTAAAAACCATGCTAAAACCAGTTGGCTAACTGGCTTAGGTAAATCAATAATTCTATGTAACATGGTTGTATGAGAAAGACATGAATTGTTCTAATGAAACCTCATGTAGCACGTTACATGCTGACATTTGCTGCCAAGTCTATAAATGGTTTAATATGAAGTGAAATTAACTCCCAGAACTTTTGAGATATAAAAAAGTCAGAGACATCACATATGAACCTGGCTCTCATAAATCTTTATTACAAATGAAGGGGAGGGGTGCCTGGGTGGCTGTGCTGACAGCTCAGAGCCTGGAGCCTGCTTCAGATTCTGTGTCTCCCTCTCTCCCTGCCCCTCCCCTGTTCGCATTTTCTCTCTCTCTCAAAAATAAATGAACATTAAAAAAAAAAAAAAAAAAAAAAAAAACAAATGAAGGGGACAAATTATAAGCATAGAATTAATGTGGGATGGATGTGACTTAAAATTAGAAACTATAATCATGACAATCTGAGTCTGTTTCTGTAAAAGGACATTAGAGGATGTTCTTGGTAGCCTTTTTTGTTTGTTTGTTTTCTACACAGAAGTAGAAAAGATGATCTTGTGATATAACCAAGACTTTTAATCTTGGAGTTATTCAGGATGTGACACAAATGTAATGGGGTTTTCTGTGCTTCCTTTATAGGTTTTTCATGGAAAATAATAAAATTAAGAACCCACATTTATAAAGTACATGAGAGTTTGCCAAGTAATTTAGCATACAGTAAATTAAAACTTCAGAATATTTTATATTTTTATTGAAATAATGACAAATTTAAGTATAATCTGGAAAATTAATAACAAATGCCTTAAGACTTTACAGAAATGAAAGTATGATTCCAGTTTACTTGTGGCTCTACTCCACAATTCTCATTTTTGTTTGGTTTTACACATCTGCTTGTCTGTAGCTTCTGTGCACAGGTACGCCACGGCCCTCACAATGTCTTATTTTATCTAAATAGACTACACTTCTGCTTTTAGGGAAAAAGTATATTCATATTCACGTCTAGTATTTATATATTATGCTCTTCAGAACAAAAAGGTATATAGTCACGAGACACAAGAAACACAATCAAACTTTCACTTCTGATTAAACAGGAGAAAAACTGTAGGTCTCCTGTGCTAAAACGTTGCCTGTTCTACACCGTAAGATGCTGAATGACTTATAGGAAATGTGCTTCTTGTTTAGTCCAGAATATATGGCAATACGGTGTTTTCAACCACAGGGCTATCTCATAAGCTGTTGGAAATTTCAGAGCATTGAGTCTCTGGGACATTTTAACGGCTACAAAGTGGAAAAAAACCACGTGGCAGGTGTTCAGAACACCGCCTTGAGGGGGCTGGTGTTCCTGGTGTGCCAGGCGTTTGCTCTTCTGAGGCCAGCCCGACCCAGTGGCAGGGCACTCTGTCTACCCATGGGGAACAAGAAGAGAATGTGGTTCTGCCTGGTTCCAACGTCTCCACAGGGCAGACAGCACAAGAGCCTAATCTGCTGATGAAGGGTCCTCTGCTTGGCCACATGGCCTGCTTGGTGCAATTTCGCGAGCTAAAGCAGCAAGTAGGCATGGCAGGGTATGTTCTGAAATACTGCTGTATTTTCCCAGCCGTGTTTCCTTTACTGCCTCCACCCAGTGCAATGAGCTATTTTGCATTTATTGCATCAGAAGAGGAATTTTTGGCAGAAGAGTAAAGGGTCAGGGGGAGAAAGACAGTCCTAGGTTTTGAGTTTCAAAAATATGTCTGCAGCTTAGGAGACTGGAAAGGACTGAGGCCCAGACAGTATGCTTGGGTGGGTACCTATAGAGACAAAGTGGAGTCTCCAAGAACAGGAAAGGGGCTGCCCCGTGGGGGTAGGACTTGGTTGTGAGAGAGGAAGTTCTGAGAGCTCAGATGTGGCATCTGAGACAGGGACTTTGCAGCCTGACTGCTTTGAACCCCTTCCCCAGCAAGCCCTGCAGTGGGGTGGGGTGTCAGTCACTCCAGATGAGCTATACAGTCTGGGGAGAAGAGTGGCCCTGTGGCTCAGGTCCAGGGTGAAGTCCAGGTGGCGAGACGCAAGGGTGTGTGTGGGAGAAGCTGGAGGCAGCCTCAGCAAGATCCCCTGTGCCCAGTGTAGCACACGGGGAGTAGAATCATTTCTGGAAGCCCCACAGGGCACACAGAAGTGACGGCAGGCCTCCGCCCATGTCACGGGGCTGCCAGGGGCCCAGTGTGTCACACAGGCAGCCTTGCAGCCATAGATGAGGGACAACTCAGGTGAGTCTTGCACGGCCTAACTACTGAAGAGCAGAAGGGAAGGAGGGCATCTCGGGAGAGGCCAGCGTTGATGGGGGTCACCTTGAGATACAAGGGTTGAGCTACCACCCTCAAGCATTCACAACGTGAGAATTCCCTGGGCCTCAGCTGGCGTTGTGGGCTGAATTGTGTCCCTTCACCCCTCTGCCAAAATTCATATGCTGAAGCCTTAGCCCCTAGTATGTCAGAATGTGACTGTATTTGGAGATGGGCCTTTAAAGAGGTGATTAAGTTAAAATGAAGGGCCCTAATCCAATACAACTGGTGTCCTTATCAGAAGAGGAGACTGGGATACAAAGAAACACCAGGGGTGCATGTGCACCCAGGAAAGACCACGTGAGGACACCGGGAGAAGGTGCCATCTTTAATTCAAGGAGAGAGGCTACAGAAGAAACCAAACCTACCAGCACTTTGATCTTAGACTACAAAGCCTCCAGAACTATGTGAAAACGAATTTCTATAGTTTAATCCACCAGTCTGGGGTACCGTGTTGTGGCAAATACAGGTGGAACCCAGAGGAAGGAGAGGTTGGACCCTGAATTAATTGCGATTAAGTTTCCACTGCCCTGGCAGAGTGGGGGATTAAAACACAATTTTAGCTGAGTTACAAAAGATAGAGAATGTTCTGTTTCTTGCATCTGTGGTCCTGGCCTGAGATTGGAATCATTTGCCTCCATGGGTCTCTAGATGTGGTTCTCGGATTAGCAGCATCAATGTCATGTGACTCATGTCACATTTGAGAGCTGCGATGGTCTGTCTGTCCCCAGGCCCAGGGCATCAGGAGCTCAGGTGGGAGTCTAGCAATGTGTGTGTTCTAAAGTCATCCAAGTAGTTTTGATGCTCCCAAGTTTGAGACCAGCTGGTGTCCGGGATGGGTGTCTGGGCAAGAGACTGGGAGGGAGAGAACAGAACCCCTGAAAAGAGGGGA